GACACTTTCAAGATGTCTGTGAATTTTACCTTCAAAATCTTCAGAGAAAAAGGAGTAATATATCAGAGTTGGAACATTAATATAGAAGAACTTTAGAATGTTTAGCCGAAGAATATAAATTATTTGTAATAAGTCTATTCGGGGCAATCTTTGCTATTATTATTGGTGCAACATTATGGTAGGGAAAGGAAAAAATAATTGAAAAGGTTGAATCCATCACAATATCAGGATTCATGAGCCTAAATGGAATTACATCATTAATATTATCCATCAGTAGTGCAATTATATCTCTAATATTATCCATCAGAAAATATATTTTAAATAAAATCAACAAGAAAGAGAATATTCAAACTATGGAAATTGGTGACGAGATGCTAAATAGTTCATTTGGTAATTAAATATTGCACTATATAAAGGTTATGAAAGATAAGAAAAAAAAAATTAGAAATTACAACTTAGTAAATCTTAGTTTTATAGTTTTTTTTTCTGTCTATGTTATTATTCTTGCAATTATTTCAATCTATTCAAATCCAGAATTAGCATTACATATTTTTATTATAGGCTTATTATGGGGTTTCTATACACTGCTTTATTTTTATTTGTTCTTTAGTAGTAAAAAATATAAAATAAACAAAGACGATAAAGACAATATTAAAATACTCTAAAAGGATTGCCTATATAATTTATAAACCTAAATGACATTGTTTAATAATTAGCTTTTAAACCTATAGAATCGCAGAGGTCTTTGAGGCAGGGTTAATTCCACCAAATTAATTCTACCAGAGTTACAAGCAATTATACTTACCAGAGTTACGAATTAATTCTATCTAGGGTTGAACATAATTTTACGTAAATTTCAGTAATATAGATTTCATATAAATTTCACACATAATATATATGATAGATTAATTCTAGCCAGTGTTATGAGTATTTGTATTGTTTCGAAATAACTTTATTGGTAGATATTTATTTAAAAAAACTACTATTTAATTTTTTTAATTCTAAATATCTAATTCTGAAACCCACATATTTATTAATTCATACAAAAACAAATATAATTCTGCTAATATCAAAATGGCAAATAATAAAATTTGAATTAAAACAGAAACTTATTTAAAGTTTTTCAGAGGTGTTGATGGTGTTACTTGAATAGCATTCATAAGGAAGTCTTGTGTATTTTGATTTCCTTCGCTTCTGTTATAGAATTTCTTAATACTTTCAATTTCCTTTTCAATTTTTCTTAAAATATTTAAGTTTTCATTAATGGTCACCTACAATAA